ATTCTGTGTCCCTCAGTAACAATTCTGTGTCTGTCCCTGAGTAACAATTCTGTGTCCCTAAGTAACGTTTCTGTGGCCCTAAGTAACGGTTCTGTGTCCCTCAGTAACAATTCTGTGTCCCTCAGTAACAATTCTGTGTCTGTCCCTAAGTAACAAATTCTGTGGCCCTAAGTAACATTTCTGTGGCCCTAAGTAACGTTTCTGTGGCCCTAAGTAACGTTTCTGTGTCCCTAAGTAACGTTTCTGTGGCCCTAAGTAACGGTTCTGTGTCCCTCAGTAACAATTCTGTGTCTGTCCCTGAGTAACAATTCTGTGTCTGTCCCTGAGTAACAATTCTGTGTCTCCCTGTCCTGTGTCTGTCCCTGAGTAACAATTCTGTGTCTGTCCCTGAGTAACAATTCTGTGTCCCTCAGTAACAATTCTGTGTCCCTCAGTAACAATTCTGTGTCTGTCCCTGAGTAACAATTCTGTGTCTGTCCCTGAGTAACAATTCTGTGTCTGTCCCTGAGTAACAATTCTGTGTCCCTCAGTAACAATTCTGTGTCCCTCAGTAACAATTCTGTGTCCCTCAGTAACAATTCTGTGTCTGTCCCTGAGTAACAATTCTGTGTCTGTCCCTGAGTAACAATTCTGTGTCCCTAAGTAACGTTTCTGTGGCCCTAAGTAACGGTTCTGTGTCCCTCAGTAACAATTCTGTGTCTGTCCCTGAGTAACAATTCTGTGTCTGTCCCTGAGTAACAATTCTGTGTCCCTCAGTAACAATTCTGTGTCCCTCAGTAACAATTCTGTGTCTGTCCCTGAGTAACAATTCTGTGTCCCTAAGTAACGTTTCTGTGGCCCTAAGTAACGGTTCTGTGTCCCTCAGTAACAATTCTGTGTCCCTCAGTAACAATTCTGTGTCTGTCCCTGAGTAACAATTCTGTGTCCCTAAGTAACGTTTCTGTGGCCCTAAGTAACGGTTCTGTGTCCCTCAGTAACAATTCTGTGTCCCTCAGTAACAATTCTGTGTCTGTCCCTAAGTAACAATTCTGTGGCCCTAAGTAACATTTCTGTGGCCCTAAGTAATGTTTCTGTGGCCCTAAGTAACGTTTCTGTGGCCCTAAGTAACGTTTCTGTGGCCCTAAGTAACGATTCTGTGGCCCTAAGTAACGTTTCTGTGGCCCTAAGTAACGTTTCTGTGGCCCTAAGTAACGTTTCTGTGGCCCTAAGTAACGTTTCTGTGTCCCTAAGTAACGTTTCTGTGTCCCTAACTCTCTCCCTCAATACAGCCAGGTCTGCCTCTCTTGAATGACTGGAGGCAAATGGAGAATTCTAAAATGGCCGCCATTTATAGCTCGACCATTACACAGTGCTGGCTGGCTGGCTGCTGATTGGCTAATGCGATCACATGTCATGAATGAATGCATTATGGGTCAGCACGCCTTGTCTGCGCGCCTTCCCAGACATCCCCGCTCCGTCGCCGCACATGTTGCCGCCATTTTAGGAAAAATTTTGATTCGCGCATCCGAAGTCTGCTAATTTTCGGATTCGTCGCGAATCGAAATTTTCCTAATATTCGAAACGAATTCCACTTCGCCTAGTTCGATTCGCTCATCTCTAGCCAGAGTACTTGCCATTAAAATGAATAAACACCCAAGTGCTAAACGCTTCTAGCGCTTTTTGCTGCATTTGCCAATTTTTGGCCAAAATGCTCCTCTCCTGAACGCGATTCTTCTGTGTTCAGGAGAGGGACGTTTAACTGCCCCTAAAGTCTGCTGCTGCTAAACTCTGATAAAAGCCTATATGTGCATGGACACATATGCTTTTATTGAGCTGAGTTCAGGGGCTTTGACAAAAAAACGCCCAAAATCTCCTAAAACACACGTTTTAGGAGCAGCAGTATGCGTGAGACCTTAGGAAGTTTAAAAACATTAGATCACTAACAGGATCAACAGGTAATAAAACTATGTTTACGGGGGAAAATCAAAAAATAGAACAAAAAGAATGACAGAAGAAACTCTAGTGGTATCTTCTGTCATAAACTCTTCTCCCTGCCTGTCAGCATTAATGTACACTATACCGCACATGCGCAGCTCAAAGTAAATTTTCGGTAATCCCTCTATGTCATGATGATGTGACTCCCGTGCACATGTGCAGGAAGGAACATCATCACAGCCCAGCTAATCAAGCAGCTGAAGAGTCTGAACCCAGAAGGAAACCAAGAGAAGATAGAAGTGCCCATGACAGCAAAGACACAACACTGGAAGGGATTTTTTAGCTGGTATGTCTGCCATCAAGTGCACGTTTGTATGCAGAAGTTTAATTCTGCCTTAAGCTCAAGAGCTGAACTGATCAGTTCCTGGGCTTGTGGTCCTAAAGAGCTGTGGTCTGTATATGCACAAGAGACCACTTTACCCATATACTGTCATTGGCTACATATCAAGTTTCCTTAATCATTAGTAAAAATAATCTTACATAAACCCACGGCTTAAAATTTCAAGTCCTGAGCTACTAGCCAGGCCTTAAGAGTTACTCGCCACCAAAACAACACAAACAGAGACACCTGTACACACACAGACATGTACATCACACACATACACACACAGAAACATGTACACACACATACAGTCATGGCCGAAATTGTTGGCACCCTTGATATTTTTCCTGAAAATCAAGTATTTCACACAAAAAAGGTATTGCATTAACACATGTTTTGCTATACACATGTTTTTATTCCCTTTGTATGTATTGGAACAAATATAAAACAGAGGCAGAAAAGCAAATATGACATAATGTCACACAAAACCCCAAAAATGGGCTGGACAAAAGTATTGGCACCCTTAACTTAATATTTGGTTGCACACCCTTTGGAAAACATAACTGAAATCAGTCGCTTCCTATAACCATCAATAAGCTTCTGACACCTCTCACCCGGAATTTTGGACCACTCTTCCTTTGCAAACAGCTCCAGGTCTCTCTTATTGGAAGGACACCTTTTCCCAACAGCAATTTTAAGATCTCTCCACAGGTGTTCAATGGGATTTAGATCTGGGCTCATTGCTGGCCACTTCAGAACTCTCCAGCGCTTCTTTGCCATCCATTTCTGAGTGCTTTTTGACGTATGTTTGGGGTCATTGTCCTGCTGGAAGACCCAGGATCTTGGACGCAAACCCAGCTTCTGACACTGGGCCCTACAGTGCGACCCAAAATCCTTTGGTAATCCTCAGATTTCATGATGCCTTGCACACAGTCAAGGCACCCAGTGCCAGAGGCAGCAAAACAACCCCAAAACATCATTGAACCTCCACCATATTTTACCGTAGGTACTGTGTTTTGTTTCTTTGTAGGCCTCATTCCGTTTTCGGTAAACAGTAGAATGATGTGCTTTACCGAAAAGCTCTATCTTGGTCTCATCTGTCCACAAGACGTTTTCCCAGAAGGCTTTTGGCTTACTCAAGTACATTTTGGCAAACTGTAGTCTTGCTTTTTTATGTCTCTGTGTCAGCAGTGGGGTCCTCCTGGGTCTCCTGCCATAGCGTTTCATTTCATTTAAATGTCGACGGATAGTTCGCGCTGACACTGATGCTCCCTGAGCCTGCAGGACAGCTTGAATGTCTTTGGAACATGTTTGGGGCTGCTTATCCACCATCCGGACTTATTCTGCGTTGCAATCTTTCATCAATTTTCCTCATCCGTCCACGACCAGGGAGATTAGCTACAGTGCCATGGGTTGCAAAAACTTCTTGATAATGTTGCGCACTGTGGACAAAGGCAAATCTAGTTCTCTGGAGATGGACTTGTAACCTTGAGATTGTTGATATTTTGCCACAATTTTGGTTCTCAGGTCCTCAGACAGTTCTCGTCTCCTCTTTCTGTTGTCCATGCTTAGTGTGGCACAGACAGACCACAATGCAAAGGTTAAGTGAACGTCTCTCCTTTTTATCTGCTTTCAGGTGTGATTTCTATATTGCCCACACCTGTTACTTGCCCCAGGTGAGTTTACAGGAGCATCACATGCTTGTAACATTCTTATTTATCCGCAGTTGTGAAAGGGTGCCAATACTTTTGTCCAGCCCATTTTTGGAGGTTTGTGTGACATTATGTCGAATTTGCTTTCTTTCCTCCCTTTTTTTTTTTTGTCCCAATACACACAAAGGGAATAAACATGTGTATAGCAAAACATGTGTTAATGCAATACGTTTCGTGAGAAATACATGATTTCCTGGAGAAATATCAAGGGTGCCAACAATTTCGGCCATGACTGTATACACACACACACATACAGATACATGTACATACACAGAAATACACACGTACAGACACATGTACATACACACAGACACATGTACATACATACACAGACACATGTACGTACATACACACAAACACATGTACATACACACACAGACACATGTACACACACACACTGTACATGTACATACACACAGACACATGTACATGCATACACAAACACACACACATATACACGTACACACACGCACACACCCTAAAAAGTTGCAGTACTTCATTGTTCACTCACAGAGCCGCAGAGTCGGGTACTGCACTCTAGGGGGAGGCAAAGAGCACAGCACACACACTCCTTCCTTTGCTTTCACTGCGCTCAGCTATTGAGCAGTCTAACGGCTCCCGGTGCCAATGACAGATCTGGCCTGAGCTCCGAGCCTGCTCAGCAAGACGGCCCTGGGGGACACACTCGCCCCTACCATAATTTCCACTCGCCATTGGCGAGCAGGCGAGTGAAAATTTCAAGCCCTAATAAACCTATTTGCATAGTCACACTATTCTAGGCTGAGTAAGTACCAGTAAAACAAAAATGTGTAAAATGGGCAATCCTAGCAGAGAGGGGTTCTTTTGGGCATCAAAGGTTGTGTGCTAACAGGCTCCAGTGATATAAATCTGACCCTGCCTATAGGCTTTGTAGCAATGTTCTTACACACAAATGTCCTGAATATGAAGTGCGCATGTAATAATACAATTTTTTTTTTTTTTACATATTTCAGGTTCTTGATTCCTGCACTGGTCTTTCTAGGAGCCATTGTTTTAACCAACTACATTGTGCTTTTTATTTCCTACCGAGCTCTATACCTTAATGGAGACTGGTTTTTTCAGGCAGCGGAGAGTGGATTTATGGCTTATTCGCATTTTTGTAAGTCACATTATATTAATCACTTCAGGTCCAGACGCTTTCTCCCCCTTCCAGTCCAGGCCAATTTTCTGCTTTAAGCACTATCACACTTTGAGTGACAATTACTCAGTCATGCAACACTGTACCCATATGACATTTTTATCCTTTTTTTGAGACAGATAAAGTTTCTTTTGGTGATATTTGATCACCACTGGGTTTTTTATTTTTTGCTATGTAAATGAAAAAATACCAAACATTTTGAAAAAAAATCCTTTTTTCTTTTGCTTAGTTTTTGTTATAACATTTTGCAAATAAATAATTTTTCTTTATAAATTTAGGCCAATATATATTCTGCTACATTTTTGGGGTAAAAAATAACCCAAATCAGTGTATATGAGTTAGCCTGTGGGAAAGCTATAGAGTCTACAAACTATGGGATATATGTTTGAAAAATTGATCAGTTGAGACCCTAAAATCCCAGACGCTAGTATGGCATATGGCAGTGATCAGAACGCTGGTATGAGGTATGGCAGTGATCAGGACATTAGCATGAGGTATGGCGGTGAACAGGACACTGGTATGGCAGTAGTCAGGATGCTGGTATTGGGTTTGGGGGTGATCAGGATGCTGGTATGGTGGTGATCGGGATGTTAGTATTGGGTATGGCCGAAACCAGAACGCTGGTATGGAGTATGGCAGTGATCAGAACGCTGGTATGGAGAATGGCAGTGATCAGAACGCTGGCATGGATAATGAAGGTAATCAGGATGCTGATATGGGGTATGGTGGTGATCAGGATGCTTGTATGGGGTTTGCGGTGATCAGGGTGCTGGTATGGTGTATGGCGGTGATCATGGCACTGGTATGGCGTATGGCAGTGATCAGGGTGCTGTTATGGCATATGGCGGTGTGATTGCCTGGACACAGCAGTAATGTGATCTGCTGTGTCAGAGTGATATAGTGATCACTGGGCTCTGGGGTGCGTGCTCTGTGAGCTGCACAGGAGCCGCCAATGCAGGCTGACATACAGGTACTCTAGCCCGCATCAGCAAAGCTTCCCATCCTCCCTCTATGTGCAAATAGGCGGACAGGAAGTGGTTAATAACGTGTATACTGTATATACCCAAAGTTCAGTTTTGAATAGTTTACAGAAGGGTTAAAACCCTTGTCTGTTTTTTTCTGCCTGTGTCCCGTTGGTAAGCTTTTCTTTAATATCTTTTTTTTTTCTCAAAAATTTTATTGAGAAAATAAGTTAAAGAAAGCAATAACATAATAACACCAATCCAGCACAATTAGTACACATGAAATTACACAAGCAAAGTTTCTATCAGTATCATGGCAATAATCAACTTACATAACCGATCTTATCTCTAAATATCACCCAAACCGTACACTCCGCTCCTCGGAAGACCTCTTACTCTCTAGCTCCCTCATCACCTCCTCCCATGCTCATCTCCAAGACTTCTCCAGGGCATCACCCATCCTCTGGAACTCCCTACCCCTATCTATCAGATTATGACCTACTCTACTTGCCTTTCGCCGATCACTGAAAACCTTTCTCTACAGGTAAGCCTATCCCGCCCTATTCTAATTCTGGAATCCTTTACTCTTCCAACCACTCCATCCCCCACAGTGACTACCTACTGTACCATTCACCCCGCCCTCCTAGATTGTAAGCTCCAAGGAGCAGGGCCCTCAAATCCCTCTTGTATTGAACTGTATTGTTACTGTATTGTCTCCCACTATAATGTAAAGCACTGAGCAAACCGTTGGCGCTATATAAATCCTGTATAATAATAATCAGAGGACATTTCAACAATAAAAGAAAAACTAGGACATACAGCCTCGCTCACAATAAAGGCCTACAGTATTAATAAATAAGGTCAGTAGGACTAAGACTCCGGGGTATCCAGCCAGAGGCCCCAGATCTTTTCTAATTTTCTGTGTTGGTAGATGAACATTCCAATCTGAGCATACTACCTATGCATTTAACCCGTTCAGCATGTGTAGGGAATATTTTCTTTAAATTCTTGTTGGGAAGATGAAACAGGAAGTAGAGGAAAATCTATGCAAATAAGAGAAATTCCCCAGACAGCTGTACCCAGAACTGGTGTCCCCAGTGAAAGATTAGCCCTCTAACCGTGTTCTGGAGACAACTATAAAATTTTGGATTTCCCATTATTTTTCCTGTTATTGCTATCAAAACATCATCGATGTGATGGTGCACTTTTCGCAAGGCGTGTATTCCTTACATGGGGATTGTATAGGGACTTTCCTTTCTGTACTTTATGTGTCAGCTACAGCGATGCAATAGTTTGGGTAGTTAGACCCAGCATTCTTCCCACTGTTTCCAAATGATTCTGAAGCCAACCTATATCAAAGTCCTCCACCATACACACCATCCTATCTACATACAATAACGGAAAAGTGCAATACTTGTCCTACAGAAAACAATGCATTTGGGCTCCCAAGATAGCTGAATATGTGACAACATGGCCAGGCTCTAGTCATTGTGTCAGCAAGAGATGCTTAGGTGGACTTTTGTTCAGGCAGAATTGGCCAGATAATTATTCTAGCTAAACTCTGATCCTCTCCCTCAGCTGCTCCTTAGGATGTGCTTCTTCTCGGTGAAGATCAGCATACATTTTCTACACTATGGATAATAGATAATAAATAGATAACAGATAATACTTTATTGTCATTTTATTCATACAGCACAATTTGTCAAGGTACTCTTTACACTTCCAATAGTCATTTAAAAAAATTCTCAACACAACCACATACATACTTCCTAACACATGCCCACATAACTTTAAAAAGTAAAAATTTCACAAAAAATTCCTAAAACTCTGCAGCTAGTGGATTTATAGACAATGCAGCCCTAGGGGGAAAAAACTATAAAATTAGAATTTAGCATAAAAAGTTTGGAGCTTGTACCATTGACACCGGTTCCTTACACTCTGATCTGTTTTTCTTTGTCACTTGGCAAATTGATAATTACTTTGTTATTTTTGTTCCCTTAGGGTCCTTTCACATTAGCAGTCTGATCAGGGCTGCCTGTCTGTTTTTGCCTCAACAATGTCTTCACTCGGTGTCAGCCTTTCACTGCCCACAAATGCCTGTTATTAACTGTACACAATGTTAGGTATATTGGAAACATTTTTATTGGCTTGAATAGCTATCACAGTTTTAATTTTATTCTTCTTTCTTCATTACTAACAACTATTGAATGTTTTACTCCTGTTTTTCTGTGGGAAAAAAAAGACATAAGATGTGTATAACTGATTTATCTAAAGTCTATTACAGATATTTGGTTTGATTTCTAGGCACACAATGGAATAGCTGTATATGCAACGTGGACTACAATAGCCTGTCTCTTGAATTTTGCTGTGGCCTTAACATACAATGGTGGCATTCCCAATAGTGTATCCACTACTGTATGTCTATCCATCCTGGCTTTTGAAGTGGTATTATGGTATGTAGCCTTTCTGCATTGATCATTATAGTCTATATTATATGTAGAAATGTTTAACCGTTTCAATACTGTGCAATTTTACACCTTCCTGCCCAGGCCATTTTTCAGGTTTCAGCGCTCTCACACTTTGAATGACAATTGCGCGGTCATACAACACTGTACCCAAACTAAAATTTTATCATTTTCTTCACACAACTAGAGCTTTCTTTTGGTGGTATTTAATCACCGCTGGGGTTTTTATTTTTTGCTAAATAACAAAAAAAGTCCAAAAATTTTGAAAAAAAAACACATTTTTCTTTGTTTCTGTTATAAAAGTTTACAAATAAATAATTGTTCTTCATAAATTTAGGCCGAGATGTATTCTGCTACATGTCTTTGGTGAAAATAACCCAAATTAGGATGCATTTTTTAGTTTGTAGGAAAGTTATAGAGTTCACAAACTATGGTATAGATCTGAATATTGATCAATCCTGAAGTACTGACAGCCAATCTAATTTCTTGAGGTCCAAGAATGTCAGAATAGTACAGATATCGCCAAATGACCCCTTTTTGCAGAGTAGACAGTCCGACGTACTTCATAAGAGGCATGGCGAGTTTTTTTTGAAGTTGTATTTTTTTGTCATAATTTTTCGGAAAATGAAAAAATTAAAAAAATTATTTTCACTATTTTTTTTTTTTTTACATACTGTCACCAGTGCAGTACAGCGTCATCATATAACTGGCATGGCGGTGAACAGGGACACTGACTGGTGACAGTATGAAAAAAATATATATATTTTTAATTTTTTTTTTTTTTTTTTTATTATTATATTTAATTTTTTATTACATTTTTTTTTATTTTTTTAAGATTTTTTGTCATATTTTACTATGACCAAAGTAGTACCATAGTAACATTGTACTACTTTGGGGAAGTGATCAGTATTTTTTTTTTTTTTTTTTTTTTTTTTACACAATTTGCTTATAGCAAAGAATTACTTTGCTATAAGCAAGCATTTTACCTGAATGAAATCGATTCATTCAGCTTTTTTTTTTTTTTTTTTTTTTTTTTTTTGTGCTTAGCTGTGATTTGGTCACAGCTAATCACATGACATGTGCATGTGATTAGCTGTGACCATTCACAGCTAGGCACTAGTATACAATGGATGGCATCATGAATGAAGCCATCCATTGTATACAACTGTCATGTGACCTGCTGTGATTGGTCACAGCAGGTCACATGGTACCAGCAACGGGAGCCGGTACTCGGAGCTGTCATCGGCCGTGTCCGAGGTGCACGGCCGGTGACAGATCGCACTGCTGCACCACTCTGCATTAGCACAAACTGCGCATGTGCGGGAGCACGCCAAATGGCATGCACCCGGAGTGCAGAGACACTTTTGAAGCCGCCAAACGGCCATTGGCCGGGCAGCTAATGGTTAAAGTGTATGTAAGCCCAAGAACAAAAATGTGATATTTGGTAGTTTAGCAGTCCTTAGATGTGGTGGCTGGATTTGGTATTCTTTTCAGACTTTTTCCTTTTTTTCACCTGGTAATTATGTGAATAACACAATTTGGGGTTGATTTGATAAAACTGGAGAGTGCAAAACCCAGCACAGTTGTGCATAGTAGCCAATCTGCTTCTAACTTCAGCTTGTTCAATTAAGCTTTGACAAAAAACCCTGGAAGGTTTCTATTCAGAACTGCACCAGATTTTGCACTCTCCTTTGGTACATGGGGGCAGAGTAATTAGTAAATGACAGAAGATGGCTTTGGAAGAAAGATAGAGTTGTTTAATATATCTGTTCAACTCACAGGAAATCTGTTCAACTCACAGGACAAGAACATTTTTGGCTAGATTACCAAGTATTTTTGTTACTTGCTGAAAATGCTCTTAGCCATAAAAAGAAAACAAATGCACCCACCGCATCTAAGAACTGGTAAATGGCAACATATTACATTTTTGTTTTTTGTATTAAGTTTGTGGCTATCAGTTATACTTGGTTGTGGCATAGTTTGTACAAAACATTTTTAGCAAACATTTGGTTCCTTCATGGCTTATTTTTGTATGTCTTTTCTTAATGTATACATATTTATTATGTTGTATAATTGTTTCATGGGTTTTGGGGGATTCATGAGTTTGACCCTTTTCCAGTCTGGCATTTAATAAGTGCTTTCCTGTCATTTTTGACAATATTTTATTGAAATGGACCTCATGGACAGCGTTAAAGAGCCATACATGGAATTTGCCACCAAATATTTCCATGGTTAGTTTGTGGCTGTTATGAGTGACTGTTACTGTAAGAGAGTACTTTCCTCTTCATTGACACCTTTCTTCCAGTATAACTGGAATATTCACTTTTTTATCAAAAATATGGCTTTTTTTTTTTTTTTTTACAGAAAATTGACACTGAAGAGGCAGTATACCATTTCCAGCACAGCATTTGGTTATGCAATTATTTACTATTGGACCTGAAAACAGCTCATAAATGATACAGCACACAAAAAAGATATCTAGTTTTAGGAGTGGACACTGGCAAGTTCAATCGCTTGCCACTTTTAGGCTACGTTCACACTAGCGTTGTGGCAGAGAGGCGTTTGGGAAGCGTTTTTACCGCTTCCCAAACGCCTCGGACAATTCTGCACATTGCAGCACATGGTGCTGTTGTAACGGGGGGAGCGTTAGCGACGCGTCACGGCAAAACGGACACCTCTGGTCGAGTCAGGAGGCGTTGAAGCCTCCTATTCTAGTCTATGGTGCCGCTCTGCAAACGCCTGGCCGGCGTTTGCGGCGCAGTTGCGACGTGGTTGCGGAGCATTTGCGGAGCGGTAACACCATTTAAACTTAATTATAGGCATTTGTGGGGCGTTTTTAACGCTCGGCAAATGCCTAGCAGCCGGTAAACCGCACACGCAGCGTTTGCGGAGTGTTAAAAAAAACGGTCCGCAAACGCCGTACCAACGCTTGCCAAACACTATAGGGGCATTTGGCAAGTGTTGGTAAAACAGTCAAGTGTGAACGAGCCCTTACGGCAAAATTAATATTTAAAGCATGAGGAAAAAAATTATCAAATTTGTTAATATTATTTACTAATGTAGAATTCTAGGCCAATAGTTAAATTTTCAATTGAAATACATATGATCCAGCACCCCTGCTAGGCAGCACAGCCAGAGGATGAAATGCTTTCTGTGTCACCTCTCTACCTTCAGCCTATTCATTGGACAATACAATCTGCATCAGAACTTTTGCATAATCTGGAAAGTGACCAAGGAATATGTATAGCTGAACCAGGATTTACTTTTATTATTTCGCTTTATATAGTGTGGCATAGTTGTGTGAGTCACAAGAGTGGCAGAATATAAAATCATTTGGTAGGTAAAACAGTAAATATGTACATACAGTATTTGAACAGTATATTTTGCCAGAGTTCTTCTGATGTAACTACTTTGTTCCATAATGTTATTTTACAAAGTTATAACTTTACAAAGGTCTGTATGCTATCGCCTTACTTTACAGTGTCAAATTAGTCATACATTATACTTTAGTTATACTTTAAATCTCCCAGGACTCCTGGCAGGGAAGAGAGAATGTTTCCTATGATTTTTCATTAATACTGTCAAAACGATCTACCTTTGCAGGTTTATTTTGGAAAACTTTGTATTTGACAAATATGTTCGTTATACACTGACTGTGTATCCCGTGGTTATTGTGGCATTATCGGGATCTCTGGACAAGAACTTTCAGGAGTCCTCTCCCGATGGAAATAACATCTATATAGGTAAGTACTCTACATTCCAAATGGTGTAATATGTTCAAAAGAGTCCACAACTCTGGTATAATGGAAATATAACACGTTGGCTTACTGCCACTATACCAATCCCACGCCAGGGTTTAGGGTTCCCGTTTGCTTTGGGATGCCACAAAGGCCACAGGAGTTTAGCAAGGAGTGTCTCAGATCCCAGACAGTCCACTCTTGCTCAAAGCTGTGGACAACTCCACTCTAATCCACTCCAAATGAGGACTTGCCAAACCAGGGAGTACTGAAATTCGTCCTCTCTTCTCGGACTGGATTAGCCCGAGACTCCTCACCCTGTATGGGTGAGACCCCTGAGTACTAAAATGTCCACTGAACACTTTCTTAATGGAACCACAACCAAAATAAGGGGGAAATATACATATACTGTATCTCCCATCCAGGACTCATCCCTGGCGTCCTGTACATTGGAAACAGTATCTATATAGGTAAGTAATGATGATACATTATATTGCAGGAAAGACTGAAGAATAACACAAAGTAGAATTCTTAGGAGTCTATATATAAAAGTTATTACACAACGTTTGCCCAGTATTCACATTTTCCAATTGAATCCAGCTCAAATGTGTTAATCTTAGGTGGAAGGTGCGCACATCTTATGTGAAAACTTTGTTAAATGGACCCTTTAATAAGGAAGTATACTAAAAGGATCAGTCAGGAATGGGCATTTGTTGGAATCTATGTCTTCACTATTAAAGTAGAACTAAAGGCTGCTACCAATGAGGTAGGATTTTTACCAAAATGTCCAAGTATGCACAACTTACCTGCACATTATAACACACTTACTAAGCAAGGGGACATCTTAAGTGTCGCAACAGATGTGATCTCTCTCTTAGATATTAGATGTTCACATGAGAACTCTGCATAACAATAAGTTACTTTCACAATGTAAGCAGAAAGGGTATATAAGGTAATAGCAACAATAGCCTAAAAATATTACTTGGTATAGAAAATTGGTTTAAAATAACAAGTGCCATATTTTAGTCACTAGAAAACGGTAGGGATGCAAGGGAAAAAGAAGCAAGTCTGATAAAAGATAATTTTGCTTTCTTGTTTTACTAAATGGCTTAAAGGTGTGGTTTTTTTTTTTGTTTTCTTTTTCAGCTGTGTTGCTGGCCGTGGCTTGTGCTGTGTTCGCTATACGTCTTGTGTTAGTTATTTGGAGACATATCAGGCAGCCATTGTACACCAGAGCATCAAGCAAGACCGCATTTCCTCTGGCCTAAAAAAATGTAATATGTGATGAAGACCTGATGATAGTAACATACTGAAACAATCAGGAACCAAGATAGCACAAGCCTCCTGTATTAGCTTGTCTTAACATTCAGTTACCATCTGTAATCTGTTACCATCTGTAATGTTTGGTTTATTCTGTAGGAAAATAAAACAGTTCTCAGGACTGAGCCTAGGATCACACTAGAACGCAGTGCGGGAAACCTATGATCCGTTTGTGTTTCCTGCTCCACATTCAAATCACATTGCCATTGCAATCTTCAGCAGGTGTCAGTGCAATTTTATCTACACCCCAAATGCAGTACATTTGCCTGCACTGGATCGTATGGTACAAAATGACAATGCAATCCTGGTTGCAGTGTAGTTCCAAAACTCATGCATGCACGACTTTGGTGGAATGCGGTGTGATATGAGCCTATTCCAAATAAATGGGCTCAAATCGCACCTCACTGAGTGAGAACAGAAATGTGGTGTGGTTTGTGTGTGATTCATATGCAGTTCATAGTGTGAACCATGGGCGAATCGTTGATACAATGTCCAATATTATGTTACTTCCTATTTATTCCTATTTATTCCTTATTATGACCTCTAAAGCTGCATATACAATCTGATTGTTACATTTCCGTAAAATCTACTTTCCATTTGCCAAAACTAAGTAATATAAGGACAAGCTATTTCATTTATATTAAGAATACTTTAATAATCCCAAAGTGAAATTAAATGAGGCAGGCCCTTACAATACAAGGTCAGCTTAAAAGACCACATGCATAGCTACAAAGGGAAACTATTGTAGGGTCAATCTACACAATTCAATTTTGATTATATGATCCATCCAATTTTATTACTAACAGTGTAATTTAAGCCTCATAAAAATTAGATACAGTTGGAAGATTTTGTAGAATTCAACCAATCAAAATCTTACGGTGTATGGTCATTTTAAAATATTTCTCGAATAGTGAAGAATGACACATTCCTATGAATATGGGTGCCTTATATTTATAATATAACTAACCGTAATACCAAAATTTAGTAATGAATTTAGAAGCACTTTGTGAACATTAAAGGGAAATTAACTTAGAAATGAATGTCCCTATTGTACTCCCTACCTCACCCTTCTAATCAAATATAAAGAATAATTGCAGGCTGACACTTAGTTCAGCATGTGTGCCCTGGCTGGCCATTATTTTTAATGGATGGGTCTGGCACATGTGTGCTGAGTGGATACAACAGGTTCCCACAGGATGAAATCTCTGTCCAAATACAAGTGCCTACAGGACTATATTTGTTGTTACACATATGATCAGGGGGGCCAAGACATTGTGAATGAGTCTTTAACTTATGACCAGGGGTGGACTGACAATTCATGGGGCCCCTGGGCAATAGGGGATCATGGGGCCCCTCTGTCCTTGTCCATACCCAAAAAGCCTATGAAAAAGCCAATGAAAGGTACCAGGGGCATCTCATGGGGCCCCCTAGTGACCCCGGGCCCTCGGGCAGTGCCCTAGTGCTCCAATGGTCAGTCCACCCCTGCTTATGACTGCTAATCCTTAAATGTACAATATGCCAGTTTGGTTTATAGCTTACTGTCTGCTATTAGAACCAGTGTTAAGTGTTCTTAAAGAGTAATTCCAGGTTTAAATATTTTTACATGCCTATATTGGTCCAGCTTGGACCAACGTAACTATGTATAAACCATACCTGGTTGATGCCCCTGGAAGCTGGAAATCACTCAAGTAAACAACGCTATTCCATTGATCTCCAGCTGCTTCCAGGTCCCGTGTGAAGCAGCTGCCCTCCTGTCTTCAAAATGCATCAAGCCAACCTCTCAGCATGGGACCTGTAAGCAAGTGGAGAGCACCAGAATAGCGGTGTTTACTTAAGGGATTTCCAGCTTCCTGGGGCATCAGCCAGGTATGGTATATATACTGTACATAGTTACATTGGCCCAATCTAGACCAATGTAAATATGTATAAAATATCAATACCTGGAAATTCTCTTCCTCCTCTTTTCTTCTATTTTTTTTTTGGTGATCAAATTTCAATAATGAAGGATCTAATATGTAAACAATTCTAACATACTGTATATGCATACTTTATTATTTTTTTTAAAGGGAAATTAAAACTCAACTGAATTCTCATAATGTTTTGTGAATTTTGCCAGGAAATGACCTGAAATACCTGTTTCTCTGAGAAAAATGCTGATTTCTGCCCTGTGCTTGAAGAGCTGAATAACAGCCACACCTTTTAGTACAAAGGTCCTGAGGCTTCATTCATACTTGAGCGATTGTAGCTTGAAGCTCCAAAAATGCTCAAACTTAAAAAATCAACTATTCTATATAGTGCCTGTTCACATCTGATCATGCGAACAAATGTAGCAGGAGATATTAATCCTGTCTCATGGCTGTGATCTGCTGACTGGCCTCTCCTGTGTAACCTGACACTTGCCCTGACACAGACAAAGCAGTGAGGGATTTCAACCCCCCCTTTTCCTCTCAGACTGTAAGAGAGTGAGAGAGCCAATTACAAGAGCCATTAAAGGAGCCAATGACAAGGACTCTGTCAAACAGGAAGTGCAGGTGCAAAGCATTGTGGACGATGGAGTCTTGAACCGAAATGGCCTTATAGGCTAATATGGAGATAGAATTATAAAAGAACTACGAAAGCCATCATGCTGAGGGAGAGCAGAGTGAAGGGATCCATCTTGGGGTTTTTCTCCTGAGGAGGGGAGACTGCATGTGGCAGCAGAGAGATTGGACCTGGCAAAGAAGTGCTTTTGGGCAGTGCACTGCATGCTTGGTGATCTGCATCAGCCAAGGGAACATCCAAACTGAGAGAAGTGGCTTACAGTACAGGGGCCATCCTGACAATGTGAAGTGCTCATCCTGAGGTGACCAGAGGAACCTGTCATTTCCAGGACGATCGTTTGGGCCTTTGTCACAGGATCTGGTGAGAGGGATTTTTCCCACTGTCAGATGACAGGAACACTGCACACATACTGCATCATACCTTGCTCAAATTCACCAGGCACTGGGTTGTGTAGATGGCCCTGCTGAACAGGCACAGTATTCGCTTTGCTATACAAATACTGCCACTGGATTACAATTATACTTTAAGTGTTTAAGGAGTTTAAGTGCACCAACGAAAGTGGCTAGCTGAAGACCCCAAGATTCATCCTGTTACCAAGAGACTGAAGTTACTGGTGCCATACGGGCACGCGCATGCGTATTTAGGCCACTATATTGCATGGTGTGTGAGGGAATAGCTTTACCTTGGAAAGCAGCTATTAAGCATCATTTGGATACAGTGTTTGCCTATTGGGCTTGTGGTGTCGGGGGTTAGAAGGGAGAAGTTTGACACAATAGAGAGTCATTCTTCTGCCCTCCTCCTGCTTGGACATCATAGAGCCGAATCTATGTAGAGGAGGTAATTCCACTTTCAGGTTGCCATTTAAGTGTTTGCCTCTGCTCTTGGGGTTAATTCATGGTTGGAATCCCCTGAAAGCAGCCTGAGTGTAAAAGTGAGTTATATTGCTTTCGGTCACAGTATTTGCTGTTCTCTTGATTCTCCTAACATATACCTGTTGTTAATGTTTATTACTTCCCATAGAGGTCTTACAGTAAAGCTGATCTCTGTGTTTTATTATAACATGTGTGCTTTTCATTGATCCTTGCACTTACACTATTGCCAGGTGTGCCAGTTGGGGCTGAGACAGTTCTTGGGGTTGAGAAGCAGAGTGGCGGAGTGAACAAACTTAAGCAGCCCCTACGGGGGTATCGCTACATGTGGGGGCTCGTCCGGGATAATTTCCAATACTCTGCAATCAACTCTTAAAGATAGTGCCATGCTGGACCCAGAAGTCAGAACCTCAAAGCCAGGGACATCCTCAGAAGAATCCCCTTCTCTGCTAGTGGCTGAGTTTGGCAAACTAGTTACAGGGCTTCTCAAAAACTCAGTAGGGTCCACCAATTATGAGTATCGCAAACTACAGTTCTTCGGGGAAAGTTCCCACACCTTCAGGAGAAGATGACTTTTATACTTGGATGGATCAAGCCATCCAAGCGATGGAAGAGTGGGATGTGGTTGACACGGTAAAGAGACAGAGGGTGGTAGAGAGCCTGCGGGCACCAGCTTCTGATGTAGTTCGAAACCTGAAACGGGATAAACCCACCTGCTCAGTTTCTGAGTGTCTAGAAGCACTCTGTGAAGTTTATGGGAGAGTTGAAGATTGCACAGAATTAATCTATCTCTTTCATCACACTTATCAAATGGAGGGTGAGAAATTAATAAACTATGTCACACGGCTGGATAAAACCCTTCAACAAGTTTTAATGAAAGGTGGGATGAAAGCTGAAGAGGCCAATAAATCCTTAATGCTACAGGTGCAAAGGGGAGCCCAGCCACTGGATCCCATTGTGTTACAACTTCGATCCAGGAGTCCAACTGACCTCCTCACTTACTCCAAATTCATAAAGGCTATTAGAGAGGAAGAAGCTCTCATTGCAGCCAAGGCACAGATACCTGAGTCTGCCAAGGGTCTTAAACATGGCGCTACGGCTTACATCATACAGTCTGGGTCTGCATTGGAGACCAGCTCAGATGGAGGGCCCGTCAGCTCTATTGACACTTTGATACAAGCTATAGTTCAGTTGGCACAGGCGCAAACTACTCTACAGCAAACATTCTGTGGAAATCAGAAAACAGTAGGACAAGTGATGGAAGCCCATGCCGATATGCAACAATCACTTGAGGAAGTTAAGCAGACGGTGTCCACTCTGATCAAGGAAGGAAAGGGTGTTGTCTCCTCTAACGATAAGAAGTGTTATCGCTGTGGAGAGGAAGGCCATTTAATCGCTAATTGCTCAAATGAAGAGAACCTGACAGACCTTACTGCAGAGTTGGTGAGAGCATTAAAGAAGTTGTCTCGTGGAAAGTCGCAGAAAAGCCTTCAGAAGGCCCCGGTGAAGGAGCAAACTGGGTGCCCATCTGAAGTAGA